ATAATATAAGCTCTGGCGGACTTGGTTCTATGGTAGGTCTTAAAGGGTTAACAAACAATGAAAACAAGAAATTCTTCAAATCTGTCTCCTTCCATCCAACTAATATGAAACATTGTGTTAATTAAAATGAATCACTATTTAAAACTGTAAAAATAAAAGCTTTTTCATAAGCCAGTAAAGTGTGCCTGGGTCAGTGAAACTCTGGACCCTAAATTATGATTAATATTAATTATAACATGTTGTTTTTATCGCCACAGAAACGGCATCAAAGCACAGACACACTCAGTCATTTCGTGTAGAAACACAATCCGATGGACAGATTCAAACAATGAGCAGTTTATTCTGAAAGAACTTTGTTGTTTCTCTTTGAATTCTTTTTCATTTCTTATTAATAAGACAAAAGTATTTCTTATTCGAGCTGCAGACCTACATGTGGTATTAAAACTAAAACGTAACAAAAACAGACGTTTTGATTGAATCTTGGGTTAAAGTCCTGTTTTCGTCATTGTCGTGTCGATGCACCTTGATTAACTCGATAATGCCAAAGCAAACTTCTCCTGCTGGCCACACATTTTGTTTAAAAAGGTGCAGTTATGTTCTTTTGTCGTACAGCGCGTCACAAACATTGTGTATTCACTCCTCACTTTTCTAGCTAAAATGCATCTTTACCAAGTAAATCAGTCAGTGAAGCGTGCAGTGAACAGCTGTCAGTGTTGGAGGTGCCGTGATGTGATGGTGTGACTGTTACCGAGGTTACTCACACTCGATTGCTTCTTGCGGTCACAGATGGAGCGATGCAGTATCAAGGTCCCGGGATGGAGCTGGCCTTTCCTCACCTGGACCAAACAGATCCCCTGCTGCTCCTGCAGCTCCAGCACAGATACACTGCTGTGTGCCTCGCACTCAAACACACACTTAGGTACAACACATGCAGACGAGCACGCACACCTTTCAAGTTCACTTTAATTGCAAAAGCAAAGGTTTGTGTTCTGCGTAGGTTATTTGGATCGTTTTCATTCACTGACTTCTCAGGAATTTGCATATTAGGACCAAAATGATTCAGGACAGCCTGAGATGGTTTTCAGCACCAGTCATGTCACTGGTTGCCATGATCTGTGTTCGTATTTGGTAGTACCATTGTGCGCTATACTTTTAATAAAAGCGGTACTTCTAGAGCGTTCCAGGTGAAGTCAGTCTGAATTTCTTGTTTCTCACTCAGAAGTTTCATCTGGAATGACTCTCAACTCTGATTTGACCCTCCTGCACAACCTTTAATCTGTGCTGCCACTGTCGTGTATCTGTGACCCTATTAAACCAATCTGTGGTCAGGCTGCATGAACATGCTGCAGCTGTGTTTGGAGTATTTTCTGTATCGATAGTGATGCACAGACTGCTTTGCATTACTAAGAAGCAAAGCAGTCTTTAGACTTTACTACTGCGACGTGCTCAGTTTAGTCGTGTCAGAGCTCTGACATCAGACTTCTGAACTAACTGGAATGAGCATTATTGACCAAGCTAGATAAAAATGAAGTACTGGTATTAGGATAACTGGGATACAGAAAACACCAAATTGAATCAGTTGTATATCTTATTTCTTTACCTCAGCTTTTTAGCATAGTTGTAACATTTACACAAATACACTCAAAGTAGGGCTGCATGATTAATCGTTAGAAAATCGCGATCTCGATTCATACTTATGTGCGATCTCATTTCCAAATGACAACGATTTAAAAAAAAAGAAAGAAAAGACGACGATTGTA